TCCTCCACGACCTCCTTGACCCCTTCTTCCGCCTTCTCTACCTCCTCCTTCTTCACGAGCCCGCTGGACAACTGCTCGCGGATTCCTCTTAACCCGGCCACCCACCGGAGTGTAGACAGGTGGTGGGGGTTGATATGGCTGAGATGAACCAGAAGCGTGGTGGAAAGTCAATGATGTGTGTTGTTGTTGCGGGGTCTGATACTGAGCAGTTTGTTGCTTATGGTGGAAGTGAGGGGTGCCTTGGGTGAACATGTCATGTTCCTGAGTCGGGGCATAGCTTGACGACCCTCCGGTGCCCTCAGTACTAGTTGCCCACTCACAATGTGGCCATGGTTCAGGAAGTTGAGTTTGTTGAGACGGACGAAGCTCTTCAATGTTTTCTCTCACCCTTCTTCTGCTCCTCCGTGGGGGCTCTTGTGGGGGCACGATCCTCTCATCAGCACGGAATGAAGGTCGGGGCGGTGCAGGCATTGGAGGGTATAATACGACATCCCTCCTTTGCTCTCGGGTACAACAGAGCAGGTTGTTGAAAAGCCTACGCAAAAAAGATGTCTTCCGCTCATCCATGGTGGGTGCACTCTCGACAGTGTGCTTGGCATGTTCCAAACCGTCAACCTAATAAATTGTTGTACAAAATTAACTAACATTAAGACAAAGAGGCATCCTTAAATCTAATAATGTTAATTAACATTCTAGCTAATATAGGCATGTAATCATACTACACAAAACTTAGTCAAAGAGGACAAAATGGAATTCACTTACCACTGCGCCCCAAACAGCACCTTGCTTTGACACCCATCTTAGCGTGAAATTTCGATACAACCGCATGTAGCCATCGTGGTACCCCATTGGCCTCGTCTCCGGCAACCCTTGGACCACCCACTGATTTCTATTCTCCCATATGTTGATGTAGAATTCATGCTTCTTGACCCAATCCTTTTTGGTGTGGCGTAGGTCAATGGCGTGGAGCTCCCTGAACCCTTGAGGTGGGGATGCTGGAATTGGTTGCTCAAATCGATATTGCCTCAAAGATCGATCGGGCAGGTGCCATTCCACCATGTGGAAGCAGATTAAGGGCACCTTGCACAACCATGTCTCTTCATCCTCGGGATGTCTAAGACGATGCAACTCAACCACTTCATTTGGATATGGACCCCATACCGCCTACAATAATTATAGTTCATGGAATTAGTACAAATTATATCCACTCCACCTAAAAAATTGAAAATGATGAAATTTTATATTTTTACCTGGTTCCACCAAGGCTTATCAAATTCAGCACGATAAAACAACAAAGAGTGTTCGGGCTGGTGGTCGTTTGTATAAGCTCCGATCCACCTAATTAAGCAAAAGTACGTATATAAGCAATTTTTATGGCATAGATGTTTACTTGTTAAGTATGATTGTATGGAAGCATCTAAATTGAACTAAAATTCCTTACTTGGCAATAATCTAAATTAGCTAAATACGATTTGGTTAGAATAAATCTAAATTTGCTAACTTGGAAGATATCTAAATTCACTAAAATACTATAATTGCATACCTAAAATGTCACTAAATTTGCTTACTTGAAAGATATCTAAGTTCACTAAAATACTATAACTGTAGACTTAAAATGTCACTAAATTCGCTTACTTGGAATAGATCTAAATTCACTAAAATTCACTAAATTCGCTTACTTGGAATAGATCTAAATTCACTAAAATACTACCATTGCATATCTAAAATAAATTAAACTTAAATTAAACTTACTTGAAACCATATGGGGGATTTGCTACAAATCATAGCTCATCATCTGGCAACCAGAATTCCCGAGGGTCTCGAGGTGCTAAAAACGGAAGATGCTCCCATGCCCAGAGTTGGAGTATGAACATCGCACCACCAGCTTGTTTCGCTCCCAACCTCGAGCAAGTACACAACTCTCGGTAGATCCCAGCCAAGACGGCCGACCCCCAACTTTTTTCCCGATCTCGTCCCAGTCACCGAGGAGCATATTTAACCACATGCCTTGTATCCACCGGTTTGACTTGTCGGGGAACAGAAACCCACCAACCAAACCAATTAGGTAGACACGTGCATACCGCTCCACCTGATCTTCAGGAGTGTCCGGGCCTATATTAACCTCCATTTGGATGTGGTCAACAAGCCACGGGACCGATACTTGCCCCGCATTCAGTGGTGGATGCCCAACCCCGTCGACGGGCGTGGTGGTCAGCATGTTGAACCCCAAACGCTCTTGAATCAACGGCCCCCAACCATCTTCCGGTTTTTTCGAGTTGTCGATGATGGCATCTCCGGTGATCGGGAGCCCGGTGAGGATGGCAACATCTTTGAGAGGGTGATCGTCATTTCACCCTCGGGAAAGTGGAAGGTATGCAGCTCGGGGCGCCATCGCTCTGCCGTTGCCGTCAGCAGATCATTGTCAATATCAAGCCTCATAAAGTGCCTCAGCATGTGCAATCCCGTCCTCTCTAGATAGGGCTGCTGTCGATCATGCCAACGGGGCAATCGACATGTCCCTCGATGACTGATGGGAATAAATGATTCCTACAAAACAAAAAACACAAAAAAATAAAAACTTTAAAACTATTGAAATAATTTTAGTGTGTCTACCGGATTATTGTTCCAAATTGAACGGGAGCGATGTTGATCTTGCTCGGTTAAATACCTTCGATCCCTTGGGCTAGGATCGATATACAATCGAGGGTCGTATATTTCAGCACCCATCTATAAAAAAATATGAAATCAAATCAATTTAAATTTTAGCACCCATGTAAAAAAAATCACAAAAGAATAAAATAAATTTACATACTCTCAAAGCCTCTTCGTCCATTTTTTGCCGAAAAGCTAGCGAGAGTACGACAAAACAAAAACTCTAGTAATTCTTTTTTATACGGAAGATCGGACTTAGCCGCAACCACAGAGCATACTTAGAACGAAACTAGAGTAAAGGAGGGAGAAAGAAGTATAAAATTTTGGTGTGGTTTGGAATGGGGGGGGGGGGAGTGGTATTTATAGGGGAAAGGGGCACTGGAAATGGATCCAGGAACCAATCACCGCGTTGAATGAAGGCAGTGAAGTCACCGCGTTGAATGAAGGCGGTGAAGGCTCGGATCGTTGACGTGGCGCGGCGTGAGGCGTCGGATCGTGGAGAAAATCCACAATCCGCGCCTCATTGCATCGAACGGCAGCGGTGAAGGCGCTGGTGGGGCGGATCGGTGACGTGGAAAGCGGGACTATCACCGCTTTAGTCATTAACGGTGAAGTGCCCGCGCGCGTCCACGTCAGCGATCCGCGCCACTTCACCGCTTTTTATATCAACGGTGAAGATCTCTTCATCGCGTCCCTCATCAACGGTCATTTAATCCCCGTTGTTAACCAAAGCGAGCAATGGTTCACTGTTTTTCTCCACAGCGATGATAGCATCACCGTTTTTGTCCAAAACGGTGATAGCATCACTGTTTTGGTTGAAAGCGATGATGCTATCACCGTTTTTTACCAAAACGGTGATTGCAATCACTGTCTTGGTCTACAACAGTGATGTTGAAACTACTGTATTTTGGGAAATAAGTTTATAAGTGCTGTATTTTGGGAATTTTTTTTATTAATTAGAGTATTTTGGGATTTTTTCCTATTCTACAAGAGAAGTAGAGAACAATTGGGTATTCAAAAGTTCGGGTATTCACTTGATTAGTCTTTATTCATTTGAGAGATATATAAGAGAACAAATATATAATACTCCTAATCAAACATCAGCTAGGCAGTTGTGAATTATTACTGTATAAAATTGGTTTGAGCAATTCATTTTGAGGGTTACTATTTGCCGCCCGGGTAATTACTATTTGCCGCCCGTAAAAAACACTAAAAAGACAATTTTGCCCTCCAAATTTTTCTTTATATTCTATTCGCTGAAATGGTTTTTTAAACACGAACACACTACCCGAGTCCCGACCACCAACTCCCCACAAACACAACAGCCAGATTCACGGCCACCGGACGGCAGCCTAAGTCGCCGGCCACCGGACCAATCTCGTCAGCATAATTCGCCGGGCACTGGACGGCAGCCGTACCCCATCGTCGGACCAGCGAAACAGGTAAACCCCACTGACTTTCCTGGAATTTTTTGCCCGTCCGGTCGCCTGAGGCGGACCCCGTCCGCTCGCCGTCGTCGGACCCCGTCCGCTCACGGTCGTCGGACCCCGTCCGCTCACGGTCGTCGGACCCCGTCCGCTCACCGGCGTCGGACCACGTCCGCTCACCGGCGTCGGACCCCGTCAGACGTCGGCGAGCGGACGGGGTCCGACGCCGGCGAGCGGACGGGGTCCGACGCCGGCGAGCGGACGGCGCCCGTCGCCGGGGACCGGATGCATCGGAGTCGGCAGTGTTATATATATTTTTTAATTTGAGACAGGTTATTATTTCTAGAGCTAATTATTTATATTTAATTTATTGCTTTTATTTCTATTTTACATAGTTAAATTCATATGTAGTTTGAATTAAGAGATTGTATTTTGTTGTAGCGCTAATTAGTTTCTTACTGTCAAATTATTGTTATTTTGTAGAGTTAATTAAATTATTGCATGTTGTTTAATTTTGTAGAGTCAATTGAAGCACAATTAGTTTAATTAAGTGATTGTGTTTTGTTGTAGCGCTAATTAGTTTATTGTGTTTAGATATAATTCGTAGAGCTAAAGATGTTTAATAATTTATATTTAAATAATTTTCTTATTGTAAAATTATTATTATTTTTTAGAGTTAATTAAATTATTGCATTTAGTTTAATTTTGTAGAGTCAATTGAAGCACAATTAGTTTAATTAAGTGATTGTGTTTTGTTGTAGCGCAAATTAGTTTATTGTGTTTAGATTTAATTCGTAGAGCTAATTTGGTTTAATAATTTATATTTAAATTATCATTATTTTTTAGACTTAATTAAATTATTGCATTTAGTTTAATTTTGTACATTTCTAACGAGTTGTAAAATCACAATTGCAGGTGGACATGGATTACAATGTTGAACTAATTGGTGATTACACGGACAATTTTCTCAATGGCGTCCGATACGACAATTTCGAAGATGTTGTAACAGTTACCAAAAACATCGCGATGTCTCTTGGTTTCTTTCTAACTAAGGGATCGATGAAGCCACGTGAGTTGAGCAACAAAAGATTATTGGGTATCTGTTATATGTATTGCGACAGATGCAGTAGGGAGAGGAAGTCATACAAGCCGGATCCTTCCAAGGAGAGTCGTGGCAATACAAGTTCAAAAGGATCGGGGTGCATGTTCAGGATTAAAATCAAAGAACTACTGGTTAATCCAGATGCTCTTGATGGACCTTAATTCTGGGAGATACAAGGAGTGACGGAGCAAGGAACCGGTTTAAGGCGAGGGTATCACAATCATGAGAAGATGCTTTATCCCGAAGGCCACAGTCAAATGAATCAATTGAGTCAGGAGGATAAAGAATCTCTGAGGCAGATGAGAGATGCTGGGGTACCTCCGTCGCAACAGAAGCAGACAATAAACAAGCAGAAGGGTGACAAAGGGCATCACACCCAAAGGCAGATGTATAACCTCGGGTCCAAGTCTAGGAAAGACGAGATGGGCGAGATGAATGCAGTGCAATATGCGTTGCTAGCAGCTGAACGTGAGAATTATCATACAGAGGTTATGAAGGACGATGACGACGTGCTGACACATCTTTTTTTTGCCCATCCAACTTCCATCCAGATGTTGAAGGCTTGGCCGTACGTGATTCTGATCGACTCAACGTATAAGACCAATGCATATAAATGGTCGTGGGTGGAGGTCGTAGGTGCTACTCCAGTTGGGAAGAATTTCAACATCTGTTGTGCTCTCATGAAGGATGAGACAAAAGAGTCGTATCTTTGGCTGTTGCAGTGCATACAACAATTGCTCCATCCACGCGTGCCCAGTGTCATCGTCACCGACCACGAAGGTGGACTACTTGCTACGGTTCCTGTGGTCTTCCCCAGCACCCCGCATTTGCTATGTGTTTGGCACATCAACACCAATGTGCAGAAGAAGTGTTTGGAAATATTTGGGAAGGACAGGATGGATTTGGTCAACGAGGCGTACGATCAATATTGGTGTCCTATGCTTTATTCTTGGTCAGAGCAAGGTATGTTGGCCGCGTTTGGCCGCTTTAGGGCAAGATGGGGCAATTACGAACCACGTCTGTTGCAATACATACAGGGAGTGTGGTGGCAACATCGAGAAAAGTGGGCTGTTTGTCATACAAAAAATGTGTTTCATCTAGGAAATACGAGCACAAACAGGGTTGAGTCGTCACATTCCGCTTTGAAAACTTTCCTCCACAACTCGCGGGGATCTATGGACACTGTATGGAAAGGAAACCACCGCTACATTACTAACCAACTCGGGGAGGTTAGGATGATGTTGGAAAACTCTAGACAGAAAACCCTTTCAGCATCCGGTGGTACACCATTCACATACTTGAGAAGGAAGGTCAGCATGCAGGCAATTATATTAATGAAGGAGGCTGAAGAAGAATTGGCTGCCCGCTTGGAAAAAAATGAGAACTCCCGATGTGCATGTCATTTCTCTGTGACACACGGCTTGAGGTGTGGATGTCAAGTTATGGATGGCAGAGCGCGAGACATAGAGATATACCCCGGTGATATTCATATATATTGGCGTACACTGTCATACGAGCATCCACCCAATGCTCAGGAGTACGTTCCCCAGGAGGAGGAGGCTAAATGTCACCTTCAGGAGTTGGTTGATGAGGTTGTACGCAGAGGACTAGAGGCAACGAAAAAAGCAGCAAAGAACGTCTTTCGCGGTCTCCACCCGGCGGAAGACAACATTCACGAGCCAGAAGTGAACGAATCACGAAAGGGACGCCCCGCATGGTCTCTATAGATCCCGGTAACAGCATGAACCCCAGTAACGACATGTGACGATCCGCTGGGGGCACCTCTGTCTCTGATCAGACTGACTCGTGGAATCCGATACTCAACAGCATCCGACTCATACTCCTCCGACTCGTCGTCAATCTCGTCTGAAGGCTCGACATGTGAAGTATGATGATCAATACTGGGACCAGCTCCACTACCAGCCCTACTAGGCAACTGAAAATCAAACTCAGGGAAACCGTCTGCCCTAAATCTCATCGGTGTCATCTGTGGCTGTGGCCGTGGCTGTGGCTGTGGCTCATCTCTATCATTTGGGCCCCTATTTCTAGCACTAGCGCTAATGTTACGCCCAAGGAATCTTCTCAATCTCTTTCCAGCTCCTCCGGAACTACGTGATCCTCCAGAATTGTCAGGTGACGCCATCTCTAAACATAGTCAATAATTTTCTATTAATATCTTATAATAATTATTTGTTGAGCAATTACTTGTTATTTCATAGAGTAATTATGATCTATACAATTTGGTTATCTAATTAATTTAACTAGATAGTTATTTTACTTAATACGATAGGTAGTTATTTAAATATTTATTTCAACTTACTCAATTACTTAACTAAAACATCATAGATAATTATTTAAAATTAACCATTATTTACAATAATTATTTAGATATTTTATCTATTAGCATATTCAATAATTATCAATTACTCTGTTGTAATAAATTATTAGATTAGCAATTTCTTCATAGTGATAATTTATCAATTACTAATTATGATACATACAACTTGGTTATCTAATTAATTTAACTAGATAGTTACTTTACTAAATACGATAGATAGTTATTAAATTAATTATTTCAACTTACCCAATTAATAAACTAACACATTATATAATTAATTAACAATTATACACTAATTATTTCAACTTACCCAATTAATAAACTAACACATTATATAATTAATTAACAATTATATACTAATTAATCAACTATCAATATTAAACTAATTAATATACTAACAATTGTATTTAAAATAAATATAATAAATATTTTTAAAAACCGAACCATTCAAATCGAATCTGAAACCCAATTAGACCGGCCCGACCAGACCGGGCGGGTGGGGTCCGACCAGGTCGGGCGGACCGCGTCCGACCAGACCGGGCGGACCGCGTCCGACCAGACCGGGCGGACCGCGTCCGACCAGACCGGGCGGACCGCGTCCGACCAGACCGGGCGGACCGCGTCCGACCAGACCGGGCGGACCGCGTCCGGTCTGCCTCGGACGGCGGCGAGAAAAAAAAAAGTTACCTGTAGGCTTCGCGGCGGTGAGGGCGAGGTCGGCGGCTGCTGTGGCGTCCTCTTCGGTCGGCGGCTCGGCGGCGGACCTCTTCTGCACTGGTCGGCGGCGGGAGGTTGGCAGGAGGGTGTCGGCGGCGGCTTGTCGTCGGCGGTGGCAGGAGGGTGGGGGTGGATGTTGGCAGGGGGTGGGAGCAGTGCAGTCAAAATCGCGCTTTAAAGCGTAAAATCGTACGATTTTACGTTTCTAGGGTAGGAAAACGTTTCAAATCACCAATAAAATCGTTTGTTACTCAAAATCGGTCAAAATCATAGTAAAATCGGTAAAATCGATAGAAACGGTTAAAAACACGTTTTTATACCGCTTTTGTACGATTCCAAGCAAAGGAGCAAAACAGTCTCCTTTCATCAAAACGACGTCGTTTTTGAATTTTGATTAAAAAAAAAAAATTGGGGCTGCCAAAAGGGAGAAGGGGTTAGCTAGCTGAACCCTAATTTCATCTATCTCCATTCTCCTCCGCCGCACCACCCTCCTCATCTCCCTCGGTCGCCTTCGTCAGTCGTCACCTCCCTCGGCCGCCGCCAGTTGCCATCGACCGCCGCCCTCGTCAACCGCCTGTCTCCCTCGGCCGCCGCCCGTAGCTCGTCGTCGTCCACTCGTCCGGCGCCGCCCGCTCGTTGTCCACACCGCCCCGTCGCCCTGTCCATAGCTCGTCGTCCACAGCGCCCCTTTGCTCGTCGTCCACAGCGCCCCGTCACAGTCAAAGGTTTTTCTATTTTCTCGTTATGCAATTTGCAATCTAAAATGCAATTTTCTATTTTTCTATTTTCCACAGCGCCCCTTCTATCCTTTATAACATTTGTGTGCTTTGATTGTGAGGACTTTGATTATTAAACGCATATGTCATTATGTAAACTTAAACCAGCTTGTGAGAATTTGGATTCTTAACTCCTTTGTGGGTTACGATTTATGTTTATGAACTTATTGTTATGATGTTATGAGTTTTTTCTAATTTAGACATGAATTGCAGGTGTTTTTTCTTTTATCTAAACTCTGTGAACTCATATTTTACATAGTTTATGCCGTACTTAACATTATTTTAACTATTATACAGGATGCATAAAAAACTTACGCTTTTACGCTTTGATTCACCGCTTTTCGATTCTACCCCTTTTCCGCTTTTAGGTAGAATCGCGCTTTTAACTGCATTGGGTAGGAGGGGGGAGGGGGTCGTCGGTGGGGGTGGGAGGGGGTCGTTGGTGGCAGGAGGGTGGGGGTGGGTGTGGGAGGTGGGATGTGTGGCAGGGGGTGGGGGTGGGAGGGGGGAGGGGTGGGAGGGATAGATAGGGTTAGGGGCAGGGGTAAATTCGTCTTTTTTTGCTTAACTATGGGCGGCAAATAGTAAATTGACGGGCGGCAAATAGCGATTCAGTTCATTTTTTGTGATATTAATAGACACTTTTTTAATATGATAGAAATGAGTTTATCGAATTTGGGTCTATAGCCAATTAGCCATGGATAGTGATTGTTAGCCATGCATGCATATGGGTCTATTGCAAAGCTGTTTGATTATTTTTCAATAGTTTGAGGGGTATATAAGAGAATGATGGATATATATACAAGATTCATTGTTAGACCTCATTCAACAATACAAATTTATTGTTTACAATTGGCTTGATATCTAAACTTTATCGTTGGTTGTACCATGATATCGTGGGGGCTCCCATGACCGTTTTGTTTCAGCAATGAATTAGATACCTTGACATCGATCTTCTGGAAAAAAACCCTTAATTGCTTAATGGCCAGTTGATGTTTTCAAAGAAAGTGTGAAGCAATTAAATAAAACTCATATTTGTCATCAACTTTGGAGTAGTTAGTTCAATTTTATCAATTCCATATATGTATGGATGTGATTAATGTTTCAGTTTAACTATTACCAGAATCAAACGACTCGTTAAACATATATTTTCGGTGGTCTCATGCCAAATCTATAGATGACTCTATTCGGAATTTTATATAAAACCTACTCTCTAACAAAAACCAATTAATTTAAAGTTTCTGAAGAGTGGATATGAGTCGTGCTTCCAACTAATCCAGCTTATAGAAATCACTACGGATTATTATAAAATCAATACAACATCTAAGCTAAATCACTACTAATTCAAATTAGTAATAGTTTTTCCCTTGGTTAGGACGGTGCTAACTACTGTACAATTAGCACCGTAATCCCTCCCGAAAGTTGATGAATTTCAGTTTTAGCGTCTTTGTGAGGGTGAGAACAAAACGGAAGTACCTTTCCAACTTCCACCACCGCATATTCTTCTTCTTCTGGCCTTTACATAGATGCATGCCCCGCAAATATCAAAATCCGACATGCATAAACCTTTTTAACAGAGAGGGATTCCAGTTATCAGCAGAAGTGCCAGATTGATTCTCCCTTTGATGCAATGATTGATTGATTTGTTAATGGGGCAAGTGAAATCTCCCATTCGTGAGGTCTCCTTCGTCAGTCAGTGTTGGAATAAGTTGGGCTTTTGTCGTCGTTCGTGTGGACGAATCTCTCTTTCTTTTCATTTCTCTACTCTATCCTTGTTCGCTGCTTTTGCTTTTGTGGGTATGTGAATTCCTTTCGATCTTTAGGTAGAGTTAACGGTGAAGTGTGTTAGACAGTGGTATAAGATTCAGCATAATTTTTTTCTGAACAACCTGAATTATTGGGACCAACTGGCTTATGACATGGTATCAGAGCTGGTTTGGCCAAAGTGGACGTGTGTTCGAATCTTCACGACCCCCAATATTAATAGTTGATTAAAGCACAAGGTATGGAGGGTCTGTGCAAACTTCAAGCCCATGGGTTGACTTTCGTTTGAGTGGGCGTGTTAGAGAGTGATATAAGACCCAACATAACCTTCTCCCAACAACTTGAGTTATTGGGACCTACTGATTTATGACAAAGTGGACACTACAACTCCAAAAGCGAACTTAAGTTGTGCATGTTTATGAGTGTTGTAATGGACATTATGTCATCGTGGCAAGTCATCAAACTACAACCTCTCTTTCCTTTTTTTCAGAATGTGTTCCACTCTTTTCACACTTCCCTATCTTTTTCTTCTATAACACAGCAACTAAGCTACCGTTGTCTTCTTCTACTCAATCTTCATATTTAAATCAACGTTGATGAATAAGAAAGTTAGGATATCCATCCAATTTTTTTATGTTACGGTATCAGAGTCGAGTTGGTAACTCCTAGCTACCAAACACAACGGCGGACCAACAACAACAACTAATCCAGGACCTAATGGTGGATCCTTATTACCTTCACGCTTCAGAGCAATCAGAGTTGATGTCGGTAGGTGATAAGTTAACCATCACCAACTACAAAGGCTAGAGAAAAGTCATGTATAACGCTTTGGGTGCAAAGTATAAGTTTGGTTTCATCAATGGAACAATCACAACATCAGAAGATGCAAGTCCTCTGTTATAACCCTATAGCATAAACAACATCATGATCCTCAGCTGGATACAACAAGTTGTGAAACTTGGAATCAAGAAAACAATAATTTCATTCAAATTGGCTACTGAAGCATGGAAGAGTTTGAAAACACGTTATGGCCAAGGAGATATAGTGAGACTAGCTGAACTAACAGAGGCACTCAATAATTTTAAGCAAGGTAATCAAATTGTGGCTGAATATATGGAAGCTGAATCTCCTTTCAGAGACGAGTTGGATAACTACCAACCCATAGGACCCCGTCAATGTATTAACACTAGCCACACAATCTGTGTTAGGAAAAAGAGACTTTTCCTTTCCGTACTCGTGTACCGAAAAGGTAATGACCATGCTAAGATCCCACTAATCTCTACTACTTGCTATAGTTGTGAATGTGTGATCATAGGATCTCCCAAATTAAAGAAAGAAATAAGAAGAATCAAATCAAGGGAAGACAAAAGGAGATCGTTACATCAAGAGAAAGTATAAATAGAGGAAAGCAATTAGACAAGACTCACGGAATGTGGTGAAGCGATCCTACACAAATAAAGATCAAACGCTCTGTGATTAGCAATAGGTCTAAGAAGTAATAGGTGTTCACTATCTATATTGCTTGAGTGTTTGTGAGATTGTGTAGTTTCTCTCTTTAGCGTCAGTTGTCGTGAAGAAGAGAGAAAGAAGTATATATATTGCTCTATTCTTGTCAAGGGTTTGAGTTCCACTCAAAGGGACCCAACTTAGAGTTAGATTGAAATAAGATAAAAAGCTAGACACTAGGTCTCAAAGGGTGAGCACTTTTGAGTCAAGATGTAAGCAATAGGCTGAACTCGATGTGTTCTTCTCCTTACTCTCCTCTTTCTTGTGATTGCTTCTCAGCAGGTACACGTCTAGCTAGTCTAAAGTTGAAGATGACAAATAAGATTTTGGGCGATTGTGTCGAACATTTTTTTTAATAATAGATTTTTCACACATGTTCTTGCAAACCTGGCGTACGTTGAAAAATTGCATATATGACTCGCACAAAACACCACTCTAGAAATCCCCTCTAGAGCCCAAATTTTTAAACTCTAGAAGGGTGCAGCATAGGGCAAGCAAGTTTTAATTATAAACCCGGACCGATCTATGTGTACCCCTACTTCAATAGCTTAGGTTGTTATCTAGCAAGCAACTTTTGGGTTTAGAAATTAGAACTAATGGAACTACAAACTAAACAAGTAAATAAAAGTAAATAAAGGAAAATTATAACTAAGGGAGCTTCACCCAGGAGTTGCTTCCCCCTAACTAGCTACCATGACTCGTTGGATTTAATGGTGGTGTAGGTGGTTTTGAACCGCGAGGGTGAGAAACTAGTGATCGATTTGTCACAAAATCAATTCACTAGCGATCGATTTGTCACGGGATCGATCCACTCACAACGTCTAGGGGAACCGCTAGGAGGAGCAACTAGTGATCCATATGTCACCAGATGGATTCACTAGAGATTGATTTGTCACGGAATCGATCCTCTCACTCAGTATCTAGGGGTTTCCTAGGGCTCTCCCTCAAACCGGAGTTTGAGCGGCTTAAGCACAAACAACCTAAATGCAAACTTGAGTCAAGGGGGATGCTCATTTCTAACCTATATAGTAGGCGCAAAGTGCCCAAGAAAACCAAGCTTGTCAAGCCTACCTAAAAATGTGTGGTTTTCCTCTAATCTAGGTTAGGCAAGCACACAAGATTTGGGAAAGCACAACTAAGCACAATCACCATGAAGACACCTCTAATACTCAAATTGATGCAAACCCATACAAATCATTCAATCTAAACAAGTAATTACAAAGTATTAGTTAGGGATCTACAACACCCAAGAGAAAAGAGTGAGTTTCTAGAGAGAGAAGAGAAGGAGTACAAATTTGAGCTCAAGATCTTCTTCTAGGCTTGAATCCTTGTCTTCAAAATCTACCCAAGTCTCCAATGAAGCTCCAAGATCACTCTAGCGCTCTCTCTCTCTCTCTCTCTATCTGTATATATATATATATATCTCACTAGAACTCCCCTTTGGTATTTTTGGGCAAACCCTAGAGAGGGAATTGAATTTATCTCCGAAAACCAGCTCTCCCTTTCTCTCTACCCGCTGTTGTCTTCATATTTGCCCGAAAGTGACCAGTTCACGGCCGTGAACACCTAAACGCGTCTATGAACTCAATATCGTCCAAAATGCACCGCTTCACTCTCCTGGGTTCACGGTCAATGGCCCCAGTTCACGGTCTTAGAGACCGTGAACTGCCTTGTCATCAGTAACTTCTGGAACCTCGCTGAACGCCTCGATATTCACGGTTTGTGGTCCATGTTCACGGTCTTAGGATACCGTGAACTGCCTTGTTCGACCGTGAATTGCGGCTGTTTCCTGGACGCCTTCACTTCACTGTTACACTTTAGACTTTTCTTCGATTTTTGCGGTTTTTGACCTCTAATTATCTCAAAACTCGTCCTCGACCCTTGCACACGTGCTAGGACCTGAAATGTATCAAAACAAGCACAACCTATTATGAAATATGTCAAGGAATGGTGAAATACTAAGCTAAACGAATATGAAATGAGGGGTAAAATGTGTACAATTGGGTCTGAATCATATAGAGCCATCATACTTAACATATTTGAAAGTCTTTGGCTCCCTTTGTTTTGCTAGCACTATTAGCATCCATAGAACCAAGTTCCAAGAGACAACCAGGAAATATGTCTTTAAAGGCTACACATAAGGAATTAAGGGTTACCAATTTATTACCCGAATTCCCATTATGTGTTTGTTTCCAGGGATATACATATATAGAAACATGAATTTCATTTCCACACCATAACCTCAAACAGTGATCCATCAGTCTTCTTCCATAATCCCTACAACCTGGCTCCTACCTTTTTTTTTTCTTCAAATGATGATTATGATAATTTTCATTATGCTACACCATCTATTAAACTTAATTTTAATTCCATCCCTTCCCCAAATACATCAAATTCCTCATCTAGCTCAAGTCATAGTGGCACACTACTACCCAACCCTCCCCCAACTAATAAGTAATAACCAACAAAATTCAGATCTTCCCATTATCGTAAGAAAACCTAGTAAATCATCCAAATAATTAGCTCGACTATAAAACTACCATTGCAACCTACTTTAACAGACTACTTCATCATGTCATTCTTTGAAGCACCATGTCCCCGACATCACCTATCTTTATATGATGTTATGAATTACAACATTCTTTCTGCTCATTCCTAAAGATTTATTTTGAGGATATCTTGTCACAATTGTGACAATTGTGACGTCCTACAATTGTGGTGACATTTTTTTATGATCGAGGGAAGGGATGGAGGGCACAGTCGGAGAAGGAAGGAGAGAGGGAAAGAGTGGCTAAGGGGTCATGGAGAGAAGAAGACATCGACGAAGAGAATGTGAGCAGTGAGAGATGGAGGGAAATGAGACATGAAGACGTCGATGAAGAACGATGGAGGGGGATAAATCGACAAGTTGAGAGATTTGATTCTCTAGACCCTTCCAATATAACCTCTAAAAATCTGGATCATAGGATTTGTGTGGATTTATAGACTTGTAAATGGATGGTGGATGGATGGTTGTCACTAATTGTCACCCTGGAAAAGGTTTGCACCTTTAACTTAAGTCGAACTTCTCACAATTTGCAATATTCTTCAAAATTGTCACACTCCCTTCCCTCTCATAATCAAGGTTGTCAAATTGGTCTATACCGTAATACTGGTTAAGTAAGTGATATGATCCGACGAGGATACAACTAATCTATATGTTTGTTTCAACAAAACATGCGAGGAAAACGGGAAGCCATTAAAACCAAATGAATTATGCAACTATATAATCTCAATGTTAATAAAAACTCCCTATATTACAAACAAAATTATCGAGCTATCATATTTGAATACAAAATTTAATATAACATCCAAATGTCTATATTTCAATCTAACAAATAACATTAACATAAATATTTACACTTTTTTTTTGCATTAGATGGAGGTCGAAGGCAAGAAAACAAAACAAGCTAGGAAGGCAGGATCACAGAAAGGTAGAGGGATGCGTCAAAACACGACACTCGAAAGAAATACCGATGGCATCGTCTATAAGAATCTAGGTCACTCTTGAGGGTGGGTTAACAAGTTCATGCATACCGTAGGGGTAGACGAGACGGTGTTTTGAGAGCCAGTCCACAACTCTATTCCCTTCTCGGTATGTATGAATAACATTAACCAACCACTCTTGCGCCATTTTCTCCCGGATCTCCGTCAGGAGCGAAGTGTATGGATGTACCAGGTCCTGTCTGTTGTTGATAAGCTCTTTGAGCTAGTTTCAATGATAAGACTCACATAGCGATGCTTCCAAGCTAGGTTCAATCCATGGTAGAAGGCCTAAGGTCAGCAAGTGCTGCGGATGCCTCGCTGACCTTTGCCACGAAGGCCACCACCAAATATATATTTACTTGAATCCAACAAATTGCTTTTGTTTCCTTATCGGAAAAAACAAATTGCTCTTTTTTTATTAACTCATTTTACCAAATGATGCAATTTTATTTAGTGACGGGTGATTTCCCAAATTTGAACAACCTTAATAATTGCTTATCGATTTTGACTGCCACTTTATATTGATGGGTTTCTAACCGATTTGGAAGAAAAAACCGGTTGAATCCAATTGTATGTAGGGATGGAAATGGGTCGGGTTGGGGCGGGTTTTGTCAAACCCAAACCCATGAGTTTATCCGTAAAAAAAACCCGGGGTAAAACCCGTTGGGTTTGAAAAACTCAAACCCAACCCAACCCTCTGGGTATCCGCGGGTTCATGGGTACCCGTGGGTTTTGTGGTAAAAAATTTACAATAACAAGTTTCTTTCAAAATAAAAGTTTAACATCAATTTCTCATACAAATTAATCATACAAAAAACACCAATCTAGAGCATACAAGCAAACCACAAATGATCAATACAAATTGTTCAAAATTAAAGATAAACATCTATAAACAATAAGATTAATTGAAAGATTCTTCCTCGTCAACTAAGTTTCTTCACTCTTCACTTCATAATATCAACTTCATTCTAAACAATTAGAAAGAACAAATTATTCATGTCTCCACAAACATAAAGAATATTAGTTGTTTAAGGAAGATATATTATTTATAATATTAAATATACCGAGAAAGTAATTATATGTGTGTGGGCGGGTACCCATGATCATGGAACGGGTTTACCTAAACCCAAACCCAACCCGACCCGGTGAATAGTGTAGCGGGTTTAAACTCGAACCCAGCCCAAAACCCATCAACACGAGTTTTACCCGCGTTGACCGAGTTGGATCGGGTGGGTACCCGTGGGTTCGGGTTTTGTTCCCATCCTAATTGTATGCTTTGACAACCATCATCCCAACCCAAGTCGTATTGTTGTAAAATGTAAACTAAAAAAGGAACAAAAACACTTGACAAGAAAACAAATGCAAACAGTTAATCATGAATAGAAAAAAGATTGAAGAATAGTAGAATACCCACAGTCAAGAAGACTGCTCTTCCTTCCCCTGATCTTTCCAAGCTTTACCCAGTCAGTTAATGGCCGCCCTTCTCTCTCCTCTTCTTCTTCCATCTCCTTCTCTCTCATCCTAACCTTAACCTCCTCCATCATTTCCCCATCACCTACCCCCAGGCTGAACCGGAAACCCGATCCACCAAAACCAGACAACGGCAATGGCGACGGCGACGGACACCTGGATCTGCTCGCTTCTGCATCTGAGTTTCGTCGTCTTGGTCTTCTCCATCCTCTCCCTTCCACCTCTCTCTTCCGCCATTGAAGACGACCTGATGTGCCTGGAAGGCGTCAAGAAGGCGCTGGACCCGGAAGGACGGCTCTCCACCTGGAACCTCAACAACAACTCTGTCTCCGCCGTCTGCAAGCTCGACGGCGTCTCCTGCTGGAACGAGAAGGAGACTCGAATCATCAGCCTCCAGCTACCGGCGTTCCAGCTCTCCGGTCAACTCCCGGAGTCTCTCAAGTACTGCCGCAGCCTCCAGGTCTTGGATCTCTCCAACAACGGCCTCTCCGGCTCGCTCCCTCCCCAAATCTGCAACTGGCTGCCGTACATCGTCACCCTAGATCTCTCCGGCAACTCCATCACCGGCTCCCTCCCTCCCGAGATCGTCAACTGTAAGTTCCTCAACAACCTCTACCTCAACGGCAACAAGCTGTCCGGTTCGATCCCCTACGGGCTCGGCCGGCTGGACCGGCTCAAGAAGTTCTCCGTCGCGGATAACGGCCTCTCCGGCTCCGTCCCGTCCGATTTAGCCACTTTCCCCGAGGCCGACTTCGACGGGAACGGCAAGCTGTGCGGCCGGCCGCTGGGGAAGTGCGGCGGATTGAGCGGTAAGAGCCTGGCGATCATAATTGCCGCCGGCGTGGTTGGAGCCCTTGGCTCGTTGATTCTAGGGTTTGCGATTTGGTGGTGGCTGTTCGGCAAGAGAGCGGCGGCGGCTGGGGGTCGGTTCGGAGCGGGTACTCGGAAAGACGACTCGAGCTGGATCGATTTGCTCCGGTCGCATAAACTCCTCCAGGTTTCTCTCTTCCAGAAACCAATCAACAAGGTCAGACTCTCCGATTTGCTTGTGGCCACTAATCAATTCGAGTTCGAGAACATCATCATTTCCACTAGGACAGGAGTTTCCTACAAGGCTGTGCTGCCTGACGGGTCTGCCCTCGCCATTAAGAGACTCAGCGGTTCCAAGCTTGGCGAGAAGCAGTTTAGGTCTGAGATGAACCGGTTAGGACAGCTGAGGCACCCCAATCTGGTGCCATTGTTGGGTTTCTGTGTTGTAGAGGAAGAGAGATTGCTGGTTTACAAACACATGCCTGGTGGTACTCTGTACTCTCAGTTGCACGGTACTGGTTTTGGGATTGGTGAGGGATGCTCACTCGATTGGCCGACCAGGGTGAGGATCGGTGTTGGTGCGGCGAGAGGCCTGGCTTGGCTTCACCATGGATGTCAGCCTCCATACATTCATCAGTACATGAGCTCCAATGTGATACTCCTGGACGACGATTTCGACCCCAGGATCACGGATTTCGGGCTGGCGAGACTGGTTGCCACCCGGGATTCGAACGACAGTTCCTTCAATGGTAGTGATTTGGGGGAGTTCGGATACATTCCTCCCGAGTACTCCAGCACCATGGTTCCTTCATTGAAGGGGGATGTGTATGCGTTCGGAGTCGTGCTTCTCGAGCTGGTCACGGGGCAGAAGCCTTTGGATGTCGACAATGGCGACGAAGGAGGTTTCAAAGGGAACTTGGTGGACTGGGTGAACCAGCTGGTGATCAGTGGCCGGACCAAGGATTGCATCGATAAGTCGCTGGTGGGGAAAGGTCACGACGATGAGATGTCTCATTTCCTGAAAGTTGCTCTGAATTGTGTGGGTTCTAGGCCTAAGGATAGGCTGCCGATGTACCAAGTTTACGAGTCGTTGAAGGGTCTGGCAGAGAAACATGGGATCGCGGAACAGTACGATCGCGAGTTCCCTCTGGCGTTTGGCAAGCGGATGGTGGGTGATTGCAAAGAGTAGCAGAAGATCGGTCCATCGGAAGGAAAAACAGAATCAATAATTCCTTATCAGTTTCTGAAAATTTGTTGCGTGGAGGATTTGGAGCATTTTTTTCTGAAGAGCATTAGAATGCTGCTGCTGCTGTTTCTCCTACTTGAAGCAGAATGGATCCCAAGTGTTCATCATCATCTTGTTGGTACAAAATTTTCTGTATATTATTTTCATGAATCAGATTATGCCCCCACCCCACTACCATCACTGTACTTGTAGTTTGGTGTGCCTTAGCAATGCAGTCGCCGGAGAGAAAAAAAGATTCGTGCAGTCGTGCTTTGTAACAAATAGTCACCGGACTCGTAATATTTTGCCTCTGAAGGCGTCTAAAACACGGAAGTTACTATTCATCGCCCTAAAAATTTAAAAACATCGCCCTAAACCCTAACGAATTTACACTCTTGCCCTTTGAAAAAAATCGCCCTAACCCACACTCATTCCCCTCGATACAATATGTTTCTCGTTTCTTCCATCCCCTCCGACCACCGTACCACCGTCGAGTAAGAAGAGGAGCCGGGTGCCACCTCTGCCGTCTCCCACATCCATTGGCCATCGGGTGAAGGAATAAGAGAGTCGCTGGGCCTAAATCCTCCACGCTTTTTCGTGTGGGTTCTGCTCGTCGGAAGGGTTGAAATCCCGTCTCCGGCGCGGTTGGACGGGTTCACGACCTGCCCGACACCGCAGGTAACGAAATTTCAACTCGTCCGACGTGCAGGTCCGGTGGGAAAAGGGATCATTTGGAACTCTATGATCATCTATATTAGTTTTATATCAATTGCTTACTTTCTTTGACTAGTTAAGCTAATGATAAACTATTTTTGTCTTCTCTGCTCAAATAATAACGAGCCTTTCTCTCTCTTATCTCTTAATTGATTCATTAGATTGGGAATCCGTCCCGATCATGGACGGACGGGCGTAACCTTCTTCCACGACGGCGGTGGGTTTCCGGGACGGCGGTCGGACTCGGACGGGGATGCATTGCGGCGGCAAGCCTCTGATTGCAGAGGCGTTGCTGGGTTTTGTCGACGTCTCTTGTCTTAGGATTTAGGTTAATTTTGGATAGAAGGATAAAATTGTCAGTTTGGTTAATTTAGGGCGATAATTTTAAATATTTAGGGCGTTAAATATAAATTCAGCTAAAACACTCCCAAAACAAAATGATTTGGTTGTTGATAATGCCGAATTGCCGATTAAAAATAAACTATTACCATATCCATACGTAAACGCTCTGTAATTTAAATGCTCTGTTTGTATGTGGAGAACACTCGTCTACTGTCGTGGATTCTAAGCGGCCACCGAAACAAAAACAGGGCAACAAATTCTCGTGAAGGCCGGTGAAAAAAGGACAAATGAGCGTAAAAGATTATTGGTACGGTCAGCGATTCATCGCCGGGGGTCTGCATCATAACTGACATTTGATTTGCTTTTCGAGGAGTGAAGTGGAAACGGGGGGCATGTGGTGGCGTTGAAGGCAAAAAGAGCTTGGACTGAATAGAAGAGAGTCGGTTTCGCAATACGTCGATGAGATACAGATTATAAAAGACTATGAGAAATATTTATAGTACCTTTATATGATCTAACTCTAATTCAATTTGGTAAAGAAAAAAAAGTTACAACTAGGTCCAGAATATGAATCCAAACAACCGTGGATCGGGGGCATTGTCCTGAGCCCCACCGAACGTCGCTCCTGGACCCCACTCACCAGCGGCGGATCCAGGATAGAGTAGAGCACTAGGCTACATTTGAAAAGAGGTGGAGAGGACTCGGACGTATCCCGACGAGCACTGAAACGAATACGTAAAATCGAAAATTTACAAAGGCTATACTAGCTCTGACCGGATTTACACAATGTTAAAAGTCATAAATGACAGTTAATATAGTTCTACTATCATGTATTCAACCATCCTATAGTCTCGGTTTGTTGATACCACCATGGTACGCTTTTCATACCATAGGTATGCTCTTATTTCAATACCAGTCAATACCATATGGTATAGATTAGTAAAAAATGGTTCAGTTTTTTTTTTGTTCCAAAAATATATCAAAATGGATATCATTTTGAAGAGCACAATTAATCCGACTTAACTGTGAAAAAAATTAAATTTCGACTAAAACGAGTTAGAAATCGTCCGTTAAACATTAATGGGAAAAATTAAAAGCTTTTCAAAAGAAAGAATGACACTGATGTAGCGATTTCTGATTGAATTATACATAATTATTGACGGCATCCGTGATTGCAATCAATGCGTGTAAAAATAAATCATGTAGGTACTCCTATCATATTCATATAATTAGTTTCTTGCTTTGAGGTTGGGACAAGAGTGTGGGTGTGTTTCTAATTTCTATACCCAGGACATACATCCCCATATATAGGTTGGCGTGGAGTTGCCAGTTTGGTTTGTTTAACCAATTGTCCAATTCATTAAGCATAAAGTTTCAAAATCAAATCATTCAAATTTCAAAAAATTAAAACCAAAACCGTTAAATGCTTTATCAAAAATCAAATGCCTAATTTGTGAGTAAAAAATGGAGTTAGAATAGACAAAATGAAGCATGAAGATAGGAAAGAAGTGTCATATACACATAAAATAGTGACAACACCTGTTACTGACGAGTATTGACTTAGTTACGATGTTATCAAGTTCTTATTGAGGTTCAATTTTAAAGAAATCAAAATCATTAAGTTAACGGGTATTAACTTAGTTAGGGTGTTATTGGTTTTTTATTGGGTTTTCAATTTTAACAAAATCAAAATCATTAAGGTGTTAACCATTTTTAAACCAAAAATCAAAACCATTAAACTTCTTATCGGTTTGGTTTCAATTATGTAGGAGTTCAAATGATTGAATTGAAATGAACTTCTAAGCTACATACTGATTTATACATAATATGGTGTTGCTGTCTTTGGGAAAGAAGTATAAACACAGCTATCATGCATTAGTGATATGTAGGCGAACATTATCCCACATTATCTCATATGATATAGTCTTGAATACTAACAGTTGAGACAATAGTGAGCTGCTCACATGATTTATGTGCTCTCCAATACTCCCCCTCAAGCTGGCGCGTGAAGGTCACGAATAGCTAGCTTGCGAAGAAGGTAGTGAAAGCGATCTGACCCAAACCCTTTGGTGAAAAGGTTGGCAACTTGATCATGATAACTTATTTTAAGTGGATAGATGTCTTGACTTCGGATGCGTTCATAAAAAAATGACAATCCATTTCAACATACTTGGAAGACTATGAGTTAGGCCCTTATCGGAGAGAATGTCGAGGGTGTATTTGTTGACCGAGGACAACTCCGTTGGGTGAACGAGCAACTTTTATCCCAAGAAAATACTTGAGTGGTCCCAGGTCTTTGATGTTGAACTCAGTAATAAGGCATGATTTTATATGGGAAATGAAGGAGGGATCATCTCCTAATAAGATGACATCTTCAATATAAAGTAAAAAAAAGGTTGACGGTGTACGCTTGGTGGAAATGAGAACCGAAGTGAATTTGACATGGCAGTTACGCGAAGCTTGACGAAGCCCCTATATGAAACGGTGAAGCTTGCAAACCATTGTGTCTCAGGGGAGACGGAATCCCTCCAGTACCTTCATATAGACTTCTTCGTCGAGGTCACCATGGAGAATGCATTGTTGACGTTAAGCTATGCAGATGCCATTAGGGGGATATAGCAACTGTGATGAGACAACGAATTGTGATGAGCTTTGCTACGGGGGCAAGTGTTTCATAAAAATCTATGCCAGGAATATGTGTGAAGTCTTTAGTTATCAGTGGCGCCTTGTAGCGTTCAACATCACCATATGGCTTAAACTTGACTTTTTACATCCATTTGGAGCAGATGGAACGTTTTCCTGGCGGAAGGGGTGTGAGAACCAAAGTATGGTTCGCTTCTAAAGCAACGATTTCCTTCTGTATGGCCACCCGCCAATAAGAATGGTTTGCTGCCTATTTGCATGTATTTTTCTCAAATAAGACAAATTTCAGTTATTTCCAATAAGTTAAAATCGAAAACCAAACTACTAGCCCTAGGTAGCCATAGGTGACTATTTTTTTTTTACTAAAATGCTAACAAGTGCTAAATTTGACATCAGTGTAGGGAAGATACGAGTAGACACTAGAGTATATTTGACATCCACCATAGACACTCTTCTTGTTGAGCTCTATGTATAGAAATTTTAGATGTAACTCTTATTACATTGACTCGTAAGGTTTGACGTTTTTCTCGTTCTCAAATTGATAATAGGATTGGAAAAGGCTTTTTCACATCTTGATGCCTTTATTAGGCAATAATGATTGCAATTATTGGATCGGACTAAGATAGTTTAGCTCTAATATCAACCTCTTCTTTGTTTACTTCTTGACCTTTTGGGCCTCTACACATGTCCTAGTCCTACAAAAACCAAACATGTTTCAAAAATCAAAGGTGTTGACTGTTGCTTTTGCCATCGAAAAAAGAAAACCCCTAGCATTGCCATTTCCTATGCACCAAGATACCTTTTACTGTACATCATGACTCATAAACACTATTTCGACTGGGATGGGACTCTGGTGTGGGCGGTCGCAGGTGAGGCCTATTTTGTTCGGGACGGGATTTATCCAGTTTCGTTCCATTTTGGTGTTGGTTTACCTTCTGGTTGAGAGACCTCTTAGTGGCCCTCACGCGCGTAGATCACACGGTGGATTATTCCACCTCGAGTTATGCGTCACTTTGCAAGAGATTGGAGAGCCAACCTTCACCTTCTTTTTCTCCTGCTTTCATCATTAGGCACCTGATTTGACTTGACACTGGTGAGAAAGGGTAAAGGGGGGTAGTGGGCCTGCTGAGGAAAACAGAGAACTTGAGGAGACAGAGGTCACAGGGCGCCTTGCGAAAAGAGAGTGCAACAGAGATATTTTTCCATTTTTGATTGGTGGATTAAACATCGCGTTCTCCTTTCATTGTGGTCCACTCATTTAACCTACCTCATCTAACATCCCTGATCCTGATGCTTGCTTGGACGGTACCCAGTCTAGACCTGCAAAGTGATCCACAGAAACCATTATCTCTGCTTTCTCTCTACGTCTTCCTCCCTTCTCTCAACTCGCCGGTGCGACCAGACATCGGAGAACTGACAAGCACTCTGACGACTATGATTCGACTTATTCTCCTCAACATAACGTCGAGCAACTCGGTGACCAATACAGTGTCGTTAGATCTCTTCAGTGGCAAATACCTGGTGTTCTGAAACACTTTTTGCAGATTCCAACTGCAGCCACTGCATCTACGAAACCGGAAAATCTGAGCAGAGAAGGTGAAATAACTGGTTTATGAATGTTTTTCCATTATATTGATTCGATTGCCTCCCCTAATCACCAGTTCTGTCGATTCTTCCATCTTTGTAGGCTTAAGTTGCAGTTGGAACAACAACGATGATGGTGGCCACGAGAATCAGGTTGGGTGAGGTGTTGAAATCCCGAAGCTACGCGTCTTGGAACTCCGCTGGTCTATTTCTCTTTTTCATTTATTCTTGCCCAGATCTGTGGGTTTCGGTGAGCATTCAATCTCTTCTTCTTTTAATTTTTCTCTGCTCTGTGCACTGTGGTTCCAGTCTCTTTCCCCTTCTACTTGCAGATCTGCCGGACTTATCGAGTGTCCGCATGATCATTGTTGTGATGTCATCGGTAGAGAGACTGAGACCAGAGACATAGACAACACTTATTCTCTTGCCTGCGATGGTTCTGTACCTCTGTTTATCTATTTCTCCTCTCTCTACCCCTATTATCTAAACCAGTTTTTCTCTTTTCTAATCCATGTTAATTGACTCTTTTGATGGTGATCCTATGTTTTGGAGAGACCACGGTGTGAATACGATGATTCGACGGATCACCATTTTGGAATTAAGAAAATTATTACTCTGTAGATTTTTCGGTTCGACTGACCACCGCTACACTGCTTTCTTCATTTCTGAAGAATCGAATGTGCAGTAACCCAGCGGTGGCTCTCTTTCCCTTCTCTCTATGGAGAGTATATTCTCTTTGTTGTCTTTATATTGATTTGTTCTCCTTTTCATCTCTTCTTTTGTGTCAGGTTGTGGAGTCGTTAGAGGAACCAAAGCCTATGATAGCAACCCACTATGAGCGGAGTCTGAAGAGTTAATCCCTCACTCTCCTCCTGTTTTCTAGCCCAATTTTCTCCTTTTGATGTGTGACTTTTGTTTCTTTTTAAGGCCGAGCCTGTGTTTAAAAGGTAGTTGATTGTCCTGAACTTTTGATTCGTCTAAGTGGCTAGCCAGACTGCAAAAGATTTCTTTCACTTCAGACCGTTAATATCTTCTGCTCTATGCATATAGCTCATTTCTATGGACATTGATTCTACCACTTTTGTGGGTTTCATTTTATTTCTATAGTTCTATAGTAACTGATTCTTCCACTTTTGTCATCTCATGTTGCAGTTAGATCAATTAGATTAATGGTGGCACAGGAAATCAATGCCAAAGGGGTTATGGCGAGCTTACCTGCTGCGATGTGGCCTGGAATACGGCCAGTGTGTTGTCTTTTGGCAATAATATTGTTGAATATGAAGTTCCAATGCGCTGTCGACCAGGAATACACTAAAGGGTATGGTTGAGTTTCAGTCTTGATGCTTCGCCGAATTTGAATCGCCTTTAATGGGTGTCATTTATCTCTCCAGCACTTTTCCAATGTTCTTGATTGAATATTTTACAGGTGGAGATTGCAGCTATTGTTCTGTGTTTTCGACTGATGGAATTAGTGGAAAGTGGAGACAATGCTTTCATGAATGCAGCATCCCTTCATAACAATGAAGAATTACTTCACCGGGTTGTCTCAATTGCTCCTTATCTGTACAAGTTTTACTATTTTAGTATTATCACTAACAAACTTTTCAAACTTTTTTTTGTTCTTTCACATGCTCATGGTTTACAACTTCTGCAGATCTTGAAATGGTTTTTTGTAGGATGTTTTGCTTTGCTGATTTTGGGCCACGATTCTATCTTTTCAGAGTTTCAGTTACCACAGGCAGGTCATGAAGTAGATGATAAATGAAATCATATGTCGCGACAAATGAATCAACCTGTAGTTATGGTTTTGCTGAACTTCTCTTACTATAGCTATGAAGCTTTTATATGATATCATTATTCTGTTCGATTTCCTTATCCTTTGTTAATGCTTCCTTATTTTCATTTGCAGATGGAATGGAAGTTAAGCGCAAGTTGAGAGTAGAGGAAGGCCATGTGAGAAGTCCAACCAATATCCAGTAGCCATAAGATTTTCATCAATACACCATAATGGAAGTTCTGCATTTTTTCCAGCAGAACCCCAAGTTCTGATGTGTAATTTGATGCAAAAATCATTGATCAATTAAGTACCTCTTATTAATCTCACGTCCCAGCGCGAAGCGCGGGCAATGAAAACTATTCTTATTTATTAGTTAATAAGTAACACAAGAAAAACCACTTCAGATTAAAGATTAAAAACCACACCTAAGGTTATTCCGGATTAATATATGATAGGGTATTTTGTTGTACAATAGCAATTCAAGCGTTTTATAATAATAAAATAGTATTTTTAAATATATTGTTAAAAAATCGTGCCGACATAAATATGTTATCGTACCTCAAAATACCAAAATTACATAGGATATCAATGAGTTAAATACTAACTAATTGGACATGAATAACCAAGGCAAAAAGGCACATAGAGTAAAATTCACAACTTTACAAATTAATCTTAAATTTAAGTCTAACGAAACGCAATTGCAAAATGCAGTTTGAACATTTCAACCAAGCTCTTTTGGCTAAGATAGGCTGGCGTATTCTGAATGAACCTCAATCCCTTATTACCCAGGTTTATAAAGGCAAGTATTTTCCTCAAGGGTCTTTCATGACAGCGATGGCTAGGTCTCGTTCCTCTTGGGGGTGGCAGAGTATCCTTCATGGTCGTCAGTTATCAGAGATGGGTTTGAGATGGCAGGTTGGTAATGGCCAATCGGTCTCCCTCCTCCATGCTAACTGGATCCCTAGGTGCCAGCTAGATCCCCCATGCTATAACCCGCGGATCTTGCCTAGGGGGGGGGGGGGTGATCCCTTGGTGACGGAGGTTATTGGTGAGGGGGGAGGGAGGTGGTCTGATGAGAAGCTCAGTAAATGGTTTGATCCGCCCACTTGTAAGGCTATTAAAGCTATTCCTCTTCCGTGTTAGGATGTGCCTGATAGGCTTATCTGGCATTTTACGGCCGACGGGGTTTTCTCGGTTAAATCGGCTTACCATTTGGCTGACGATTTGGATAGGAGGAGGGGTGGGTGGCGATCCTCGGTTAGCTGGATAGATAAGCCAAGTTGGATTAGAGTTTGGGAGGCGAAGATCTCTCCGAAGTTGAAGGTTTTTGTTTGGCAAATTCTTAATCGGGCTCTGCCGACTACAGAGGCGCTTATTGAGAAAAAGGTCCAGGTGCTCCCTCGGTGTCCAGTTTGTTGGGAGGCCCCGGAGATAATGTAACACCTGTTCCTTTATTGTCCGGTTGCGCGGGCTCTCTGGGATTATTCTGGGCTGGAATACTTGGGGGAGGGTTTACCTCGACATACTTTTCCTTTGTTTCTCAAGTGTCTGTTGGCGTTGATTCATCAGCCGACAGTGGTTATGGCTGTTGTTGCCGTCCTTTGGAGGATCTGGAGATCTCGAAATTGGGTAGTCTTTGAAGGCAAATAATTTGGGATCCCAGCACTCATGCGCCAATTTAACCAGCAGTTTGAGGAATGGGTGGGCCTACCTGCGGACCATGCGCCTAGGGTGCAAATCCCGATGATGCAATCGACCACACAAGTGGATGAGTCCCATTTGGTTTGCATGTGGGACGAGGCTACTAAGGGTGGATCACATTCGGCTGGTGGGATGGTTCTTTTTGACCCAACGCGGACACTCCTTCTGGCTAGAGGGGTCCAGTTTTCTCAAATGGATGATCCTGTAGTGGTGGAGTTGCTTGTGCTCAGGGAAGCTATTATTTGGTGCGTGGAACAAGGCTTGTAGGAGGTCTGTTTTGAGGGCGATGCGAAGGTGATTATTGATAAAATTAATCAAGCCGACACAAGAGATAGCCGGTTGGGTGCTATTCTGGAAGAGATTAGACATTATTTTCGTACTCAGCCTCGCTTTAGTGTGCGTTTTGTAGGTCGCGAGAACAATAGGGTATCTCATTTGGTAGCTAGGAAAGCCCTCTCTTTGTATCCGACTATGAGTCGCTTCTTCGATTTCCAGACCTGGCTGGTTTCCAGGGTGTAACTGTCTATTTTTTCTATCAATACATGATATCTTTTGACAAAAAAAAAAACGCAATTGCAAAATACAAACGTTACCTTTTATCTCAGTTGTTAGAGAGAGCTCGATTTTTTTTACTAGAGAGAGCTGAGTGCCGCTTTATAGGAAGAGAGCAAAGGATAGAGCAAATGTCGATTAGAGCTCTGTTGGAGAGGAAGGTGAAGAATTTCATAACGCGAAATTGAATGAACACACGAGACAGATGATTATACGTGGTATCCTTGTTCTTGATTGAACGAGACTAATTCACAGTGAGCTCTCAAGAGCTCAGAACTGATCCTTTATTAGGTTTACATCTTGGCCGATAGCGGCAGAAACACCTTTGCATACGAACGGAGACGATCCGCAAGACTGAAAAAAACAGCAGTGGGGTGGACAACTTTGCGACTCCTGATCGACTGTTGTTGTCTCTCTTACGACCAGACTGATGAATGGAAGAGACGCCAGACTAATGACGTTGATGGTGCTACAAAGGGCCAACGGATGCTGTCTGCGGAAGCTCAAAACCCTAGACAAGGGATCGAGTTTCGCTCTGATACTATGAAGAATTTCATAATGCGAAATTAAATGAACACACGAGACAAAGGATTTTACGTGGTATCCTCGTTCTTGATTGAACGAGACTAATCCACGGTGAGCTCTCAAGAGCTCACGGCTGATCTTTTATTAGGTTTACATTTTGGCGGCTTGCTATCACACAAGTTGATAGCTAAGCTTATATAGAGAAAGATTTAGAGTTAAAACCCTAATCCAAAGAATCAGACAAGGCCCAACAAGGCCCCAAATTAACTTGATTTAAGTAACCTGAACAGAAGTCTCTGGCCGATTTTCATTTTTACGCTAACTTTCAACGTCGTTTTAATGTTGGAATTTTTTGTCCGGACCGTTCGACATTTTATTAAAATAGATGAAATATCACAATTCATAAATTCAACCTCTAAAAACCCAGCTGACACGATTTTTAATACTAGTGCTTGTACTATTTCGAATTTGACTCAGATACCATTCTTTTGATGTTCAACCATCCGTACAATACTATTTTGTAATCCTTTGCTTTGAGTCTACGAAAAACGGGAGGATTGTCCATGTTGATTCTTGGGCCATCTTCTCACGCCCACAATACCACGGGCTTATTTAGTTGATCGGCTTCTTATTGGGCCACAGCCAAGCCCATTCTATTAGCCGAGCCTGCCAATATCTGGTTAACGCTGGAGCCCATACAAAAATGCAAAACCCCTGAAGTTCCAAAATCTCAAGAGTCTGCCGTCCGCCGTTCCCCTGCCTCTACCTTCCAACTCTGCCTCCTCCGCCGCCGCAAGTCCACCCCCTTTGCTGCCTCCGGTCGCCGTTTGCTTTTAACATTCCCCGGCGTCTCGTCTTCCGTGTTTCTCTCTCTCTCTCTCTCACCGACCAAGGCATCCGTCGCCGCCGGTCATCTGCCGGTAAGATTGTCTCCAGTTTCTCCGGCCCATTTTTCCATAATTGGAAGTATACAGCTTTCGTACTCGTGTAAGGATAGACATAGACTTACATTTCCTTCTTTCTTCAACCCGTATATAACTTGCTACCAGATGAAAATTGAAATGAGGGTATATTCATGTGTTTTGGATGCAGTGGGTACTGGTATTTGTACTGCTACTGCTATTGTATTCATATTAAAGATTCTTCATATCTCGATGATATGTATTTCGTAATGCCATTATCTTTCAACAACATCCTACATTAAAGAATTGGGGCCGTCTCTTACATGAATTACTTCTCAACACAACCTCAAAATTGAAACTTTCAAAATCCAACAGTTGAGTTTTAGTGGGTGGTGGCCAAGATAATCAGAGGGTAACTCGTTGTTTGCCTTAATACTATCTTCCAAATCACCGAAATAGAGCTCCAGTTTCATGGTAGTTTGTTTCAACTAACAAGGATTCATGTTGATCAGACATAATACAGCAGCACAAGAAAGTGTAGCTACATCAGGATCCCCTGGCCAGTTCATAGTTTTGCAGTTCTGGTACCTCTAATGAAAAATACATTTGTTGTATTTTGGTTTCTAGAATGATTTCATCGTGGTTCTATTACGGATTGTACTGCCATGCCTCAAATGTTCAATCTTTTTGGTTCAGTCTTGCACCCAACAGTACCTGTGTAAACATAAAAGATTTTTAAATAGAGGACAGGTTGATATAGCTAAAATCTAATGTCACATGCTGATAAAAGCCATAGGGACTATGCAAAACCCTATCTAGTATCGAATAACTGAAACTGCTTCAATCATAGAAACCAGTTTCTGTGGAGTACTGATTAATTTTCGTCTCCAATTTAGGGATTTGTTTTCAAGTCTTGTATTGGATACGTAAGTGTAATGCAATGGTGGAAAACTCTGAGCAGTTAGAACAACTAGCCACGAGCCGAGCTACAGAAGAAGTAGAAGAACAAGGAGAAGATGACGAAGTTTTGTGGTCTTCGGACTCTGAAATTGGGGATGCTTTGGATTGGTTGGACGCCAAGGATGATGGCGAAGCGGGTGAGGGAAGTTTTGCGCTGAATTCCAGGCGGCCGAATACTCATGGTGGCCTCCATTCTCGGCCTACCTCCTCAACGCTTCAACCTCTCTCCAATCGTAATCAGAAGTTCTCCCATCATATCCGAGCTTCTCCTCTAGAGGTATGATTTTAGTGAGTGATAGTCTTGAGTTACGAAATTCTTGGTTTAAGTTTTATATGGATTTGATGCTGATGTAATTTATGGTCGCAGGAGTGGGAAGGGAGGATGAACGTTGGGATGTCTAACTCTGTTACGACTGCAATTCGTGGGAGCGTGCGAGACATGGCGATACGAAAAACTAAAACCACTGAAAAAGCAGATCTTGCTACTGTTGAGCAGGTTAAAATCTCATTAACCATTTTGTTGTGTTTTCTTACGTGCTAAATTTTGTGAGAGACAACAACATTAAGTGTATGTGATTACTTATACTTGGGTTGTCTTTCGTCAAAAACTGTTGGGCTCTTTTATGAGCTTGTGCATGAATAATAGGGAAATTTGGAATTGTAGACCCTTTCTATGTTTAAAGACAAATCATTACTTTTTTTGGGACAATAGCCTGTACTGAAACCGAGCATTAACTACAGTTTGCAATGTTATTTTGGCATTCCGGTTGCTCATGCTTTCGCTGCTGCATGCTCATTCCCTAGCATTTCTTCCTGTGCATGCCCCCTGTTGATTCAAAGCCCCTTCTGAGCAGAGTTTTCACAAGCAGATTTAACTATTTGGTAAATCTAATCATATGTTGACTTTCCTTTTTTGCAGGCCATTGATCCTAGGACAAGGATGGTTTTATTCAAAATGCTTAATCGTGGGGTGTTTAATGATATTAATGGCTGTATCTCAACTGGAAAAGAGGTTTGTGGATATCTGTTGATTTGCCTTTGCCATCCTCGTTAATCTCGAACTTGAGCTGTGTGAAGTGGATGGCATTGTTTGATTGTTTCACTAACTCCACCTTCACATTTGGTTAAATATATGAGTCATCTTGTAACTTCAGGTTCCACTTTGCAGGCAAATGTTTACCATGCATCAAAGTCTGATGGTCAAGAGCTGGCAATTAAAGTGTACAAAACTTCAGTACTGGTCTTCAAGTAAGTCGACTTTTCTTTATTATGGGAATTTCAGAATATGTTGGTTTTACTGAAGCAACTGACCGTAAGTGATCACTGATCAAGCCTTAGCCTCAGTTCAACAACTATAGCTGTTGGGAACGAACTGTCAGAACAAGTTTTTGCTAAGTTGAAGTGTTACTGGTTTCTGCGTGGTGTATTCATGTGATTCAGTTAACTAATTTCAAACAAAATCAGGGATCGGGATCGGTATGTACAAGGTGACTATCGGTTCAGATTTGGTTATTGCAAACACAATCCAAGGAAAATGGTAAAGACATGGGCTGAAAAGGAAATGCGAAACCTTTTGAGGTAATAGTGAGTGTCCTTATACTTTCCACCAAGGCAATGCTTATTCCATCTCGCTATTGATAAAACATTTGGAATCTTGTATAATGGAAATGTTACTGCTTTTGGTTTCCGGTACTATTGTGTTAGTTTCCCTCCATGGTCTATTTTCTTTGAGAATTAATATGAAGCAGAAAGAAAAATTAGCATTTAATTCCTTTACAGACAAAGACGATGCTATTCCAGTCGTAGAACTTGAAACTCAATGTGAACTGCAGGCTAAAGGCGGCTGGAATCAGGTGCCCAACTCCTTACCTTTTGAGGCTACATGTCCTGGCTATGGAATTTATAGGTAATTACCTGTGTCTCTTACTGTCTCCTTTTCCTGGAGTTCTCATTATAGAGAGCAGCACGTGCGGAGGATTAACTGAAAGTCAATTTCCCAATGTATTGCCACCATGGAACTCTTTGCTCTGATTTCAGTTGGCAATCTTCTTTTATGTAACTGTATTATCTGGGTTGGAAGTTGTTAAGTTTACCTTTGGTTCAGAATTCACTTTTTGCATATAATTCTCTGTATGATATGCATACAACATTCACTTGAGTTTCTTTGTTTCACTTTGAACCTTGTTTGATTCTTTTGTAACTATTATAATACAGGGAAAGCTGGTTGGGCTGCACCCCGTCTTAAGGATGCTAGCCTATCGTTGGATAAGTTGCGTGAGGGTTATATGGAGGTGAGCGTGACAGTACTGCCATTAGTTTTATTTTATTTTATATCATGGTGATGAAAATCAAAGTATATGATTCATTCCGAGTATTGTAGGTTAAGATTTCTTTTTTCTTATTTGGACTGTGTTATGTGAGTAGATGAAGGGGACTAGGGGAGAGGATTCTCTTGGAAGATGTATGCATTAAGGTATGGATGAATTAACTCTCTATTTTCTTTGTCTCATATTTTTTTGTGACCCTAGTTAATGACATCTTTTTGATTTTGCTGTCCAGATGGTTATTGCCATGCGGACATTGTATCAGAAATGCAGATTGGTACACGGGGACCTTAGTGAATACAACATTCTTTATTTTGAGGTAATGCTCGTGCTTTTAGTTTATTCAAATTGATTCAGAACAGCAGCATGTTTGCTTCTTTATGTATCTTTGGTTGACGAAAATAAACAACTAAAAAGAAATGGAACTTTTACAACAATGCTGGTTGATTATCTGATTGGAAATTTCGCACCTGATTGACTTACCTGTAAATGTACTGTAGGGTCATCTTCACATAATTGATGTCTCTCAAGCCGTTGATCTTGATCATCCTCGGGCCCTTGATTTCTTGCGTGAAGATTGTGTTCATGTTTCTGTAAGGCTCTTTATGCAGTACAGTACGAATGCTCTTGTTTTTGTTTGAAATTCATTACTCTTAGGATTGCTGGTGATGAGTTGCTGATGAGGTTGGCTGGCTGGCATTTGCAGGAATTCTTTAAGAAACATGGAGTCGGTGTGATGAGTATTAGGGAGCTGTTTGACTTTATAGTCGACCCAACCATTGCTGATGACTCCATTGACATCTACCTGGAACAGGTTCTTGCATCCTGTATATTTATATCATTAATTGATCACCCTTAACTGCCAGTTTGCTGTGGGCTGTCTGACCCTTGTACTTCCTTTGTCCTCAGGTCCAACAAAAAATAATGGCCAGAGATCTGACTGCTGAGGATGAAATTGCTGACTCCGTATTTGTTCAGGTCCTTAGTACGTTTAACACTTTTAGCGCAGATGGCTAAATCTAATGGACTTCCAGCTAACTGTGTACATGTTTTGGTCAATGCAGGCGTACATTCCAAAAACTCTGGATGATGTGAAAAATGCAGAGGAGGATGTGATACGGTTGACGGGTGGACAGGACACTGAAGACATGTACTATAAGACGATCACGGGACTGAAGCATGCTCTTCCTAGAGCTACAGGAACGGAGTCTTCTTCTTCTGACGATGATGATGGCAACTCGAAAGTAGAGAAAGGAAGGAAGCTTGATGATGAAGAAAAAGAGCCCTTGGCAGTTCATCAGGAGGATGCCAGTGGAGATGAAGAAGACTCGAGTGATTCCTCGGACTATGATGATGATGATGATGGGAGCAACGGTTCTGAGAAAGAGAGTCGCGGCGAGAAAAGGGCTGCTCGGAAAGAGAACAAGAAAAAAGTAAAAGAAGAGAAGAGGGAAGCTCGGAAGAGTAAAGTCCCCAAGTCCGTGAAGAAAAGAAAGAAGAAGTTGTCCAAAGCTAAGAAGACGAGGTAGACAAAGCTACCTTTGTTGGATGTAAACCAGCAAGTACAGTTTATATAGCTTATAATGATCATGAGGCATTCGTTTGTTACGGTTAGACGGTGGATTTGTAAAAATAGAGCAAGTAGCAATTTTGACCTGTCTTCTGAAGTGAAAAAAGAAGCAGCAATTTTGACATATGAGAAGGTTTACTTTGTTGCATAGCAGCAGAAGTCATCAACTGGATACGAGGAGTAAAAGCTAACTAATATTCTTCAAGTTGGCTGTTAACAGCTTGCTCAGGTGATCAATAAGTTACAATTAGAACCATTTTCTCTATCGAAAAGATGAAACAAACTTAGAAATCGTTTTCTTTCTTTCTAATCGTCAGGCCCAGGCCCATATACCATATAACGCGCCAAAGTGGATCCAGTTGTTCGGCTTCTAGTTGGGCCACGACCGTCGAACCTGCAGGTATCTCGTTTACCGGAATGAAAATCATATGAACAAAACCAGTGAAAGGGAAGAGGCGTAAGGTCGAAAAAAATGGCGTGGACGAATCCTTCCATCTTACTCTTCCTTTTCTTCTTCTCCTCCGCCAGCTGCTCCATCTCGGCAACTGCAGAGCTCCAAGCGTCTCCTTCGGACCACGGAATGTAAGCGTGAAATCTCGGGACGCATTGCTCTTCCTTCTTGTTTGTTTGATTTCGTTGTTTAAGCAAGCTTTCTGATCAATCGATGTTTTCCCCCTTTCTCGAGTTTGAAGCAATGGAGGGTTCCAACGAAGAGTTTTGCTTGGCTTCAAAGAAACGCCCAGCGGAAGTAACACAAGCTTTGATTGCGCTCCTTCCGGGGCCTGTGTTCCCTGCCAATACTCGGAGAAGGTTAGTTCTGCGTTAGCCTTCCCGATTGAAATTCAGTGTCTTTGGCATAGTTTGGTTTGATTTGGCTAATTCATCGATCTTTCCTTCTGATTTATGCTGAATGTGTGGACTAGAATTTCCTGGGTCAGATCTTTTGTTATCGATTGAGATTTTATGCCCAAGTCTTTAACAAGCTTGGGGGGTTTTGTTTGCCCCCAATATTTAAACAGACTGAGCCAAAGTACAGATGCAGTGAGACTGGGTATCGTATCCCGTTGAAATGTATGGAGATCAAAGATGGTGCCAAGCTTGCAAAACAGGGAAAGTCCAAAAAGAATCGATCTGATCTGGAAACGTCTGCTGGTAGCGGTAATCAGGAGGCTTCTTCCATTGCAGGTAGAAATTTGGCCGAGGACTCTAAGAAACTAGATGGTGGTGGTGGATCACAGGCTTACATTACTTACAGAAGTTGCATACCGCCTGCTGATGAAGAGAAGGTTTCAGTGCTTGGTTTTGAGGTATGTGAAGATTTTCCTTTCTGCCTGCATTTGAGAAAGATAGGATGAAAAGAGTATGAAAAGGGGGTACGATGAAGATTGAACCAAATGGCATTTTATAGCTCAAATAAAAATCGATGCAAGGAATCGGATTCTATGCTATTGGGATGGGATTTGTGAATTAGTTGTATGATTTATTCCTTAGGCAGCAAGTCGTTTGCTCTTCTCTTTCTCTTGGACTTATTTTCTGCATAATTGTACTAGTGATTCTTCTTTCTTACATGGTTGTTGCTTCAATTGCATGTGTTTTCTTCAATATGTTACTTGTGTAGTTCGTTTTCGGAGTAGAGTTTAGAGCAGAGTTGCCCGGTTTTACACGAGTGCTTCAAATGGCACGCAGAGAGCGTTATACTTGAAACATGAGTTTAAGCTAGCATGGGCTAGATGCCCTACAGGCTACAGATGTTAGCGCTATATGCATCGATGGGGTTTGGCCCCAAAGTCTGTTTAGGAAGATGATAGGCAAATATCTATTGCGTCAGATGATCAAGCATTCACCTGAGGCCCTGACATTGGTTCTCATCTTTACAATTTGGGATAAATGTTCTGGGTTCTCATCTTTACAAATCCAATTTGAAGTGCCTAACATTCTTTCTTTTCTTCTTATTGTCACCAAGCTAGATGTTCTGATATTTGAATTTTTGGTGCAGGGCATTGTGTTGTTCTTCTTGGTTGCAAGTGGTTCGTTTGTGTACTATCGAAAGAAGCAGACAGGAACAATGCCAGGTGCAGGTAGGATCCAAATGAACTCTCGGTTTTGAACCCCTTTTTTTTTTATTTTGTCGTTCTGAGACTCTCCTTGCATAGCATGTTCCATCCCCATTCCGCCTCTTCCAAGCACTTCGATACACATTCGTGTTTCACTGTAATTGTTGAGTTTCATCTATGTATTGCTCCCGTAGATAGTGTTTGCCTTTCAATGGACGATGTTGTAGTTAATGAAATCATCGGTACTCCACAGTCACATTCAAATGCGTTCGAGCATAGTTTTATACGAGCTTCCTTTCGCTCGTTCAGATTTGTTCAATCTTCGATTTTGGCCTCTTTGTGTAAGTTTTGTCTAGTGCATCAAGAGCAGTAACAAATGCATTAGGAAGGGAAGGAAGATTGTGGAAACAAAGAAGTTTTTGACGAACCAGTTTTTTCTTCACTCCTGACGGTCGTACTCCAACCCCTTTTTTCTGAACACAACAAAATCTATTTTTTTTAAGTACACATCTACTACAATACTGATTGCACCATCAGTAGTACAAAAGGCTGATCTCATGTGTGCAAGCAAACGAAAATTACAAAAAATAGTCGGGGGTCTTTCTCGTGGTGTCGGGTTCAATTTGGCGAGGCGCAGGGTCAAACTGCAGGAAATTCTGTTCCATATTCTCGCCAATCTCCAGGATTGCAGCCATATTCCCACACCGGTAGCAGTAGTTTGGCGCACTAAATACTGTTACAACATTCTTCTCCTGAGATGATAGATCAACCAAACCAAAGGTTTATCACCAAACACTAAGAAATGCACCGTAGAATAATCAAATCTGAGGAATCGTTCTCTCTCACCTGGGACCAATTGTAGCCCTCCATAACAAGCTGATGAGCTCGTGAAATCAAGGTGAGCCCATTAGTATGATTGAAATTTTCAGCAATGTCCTGCCCGAATGTGTACCCAGCACCGCGAGGTGATATTCCCCACCCGCAACGATCGTCTGGATCAGACCATAGCAGATCGCACATTGGTCCTTCGTGCGGGACCTAGTCAGGCAAAAAACAAATCAGACTAAACTATGGCATACAACAAGTGTTCAAACTAACTACAGAAAGATCTATGCCACTTAGATGTGGCACATAGGTCAGGTTCGAAGTTTTGGGTATAAAAGGTTTGTGGGTTGCTGCATTTTTTGACAGAATAGAAATGCTTGATGTCTAACGAGCATAAGATTGGTACCTACCTCTTGTATACGATCCAAAGCTCGAATATTATCTAATGTATCAAGAGAAGGTGAGAGTCCCCCGTGCAGACAGAAAACCTGCATCATCGATAGATAGGAGCACAAATTCAGCATAGAATGATCATTGATCAATGCCAATTCAAACATACCATAGATAACATTCACCATTCTACCTGGCTCTCAATGAGTGCTGTGAGTGGTAGATAATCAAAAAGGTCCGTAAAATGCTTCCAAACGTTTGCATTCCCATATTTTCTCAAGCACTCGTCATAGAACCCATAGCTGAAAAAAGCAGGAGAAATCGAATTATCAAAACCTTGCCTTGAAGTAGATAGCCACAGCTATGAGCTATGAAACTCGAATGGTCAAACTTGAGTATACTTCAAAAGAGTTTAACCGAAAGCACAAAGTAGGAGCGCGGTGATCATACACTTGCGTAATCTGCCTGCTCTCATGGTTTCCTCGCAGGATCGTGATTCTATCTCTGTAACGGACCTTCAGGGCCACTAAGAGTGTGACCGTCTCCACCGAATAGTATCCACGATCTGCATTACAGCAAGTTTTAGAGAAAGAGATCAATACTTCCTTCCACCGAATAGATCCAGAAAGCTTTATATGATTTCAAGTTTACTTTCAGTCATTAGAAGAACTCCATTATTGACTTCATTTTTCTACTTTCAAGTAATCACACATCCTTGGGGATCTCAAGAGGCAATTACAAACAATCAAACAGAGGAACTCAAGGAGCCATCTTGAACCAGAGAGATCTTAGAATCGAAGCCAATCAAGGAGCGAGAAAGCAAGCCGAAATCAGAGGAAACTCTCAGTGACTACTGGAAACTAAGGAAGTCAAAAAAGACGATTTGACTGATTGACAGACTTACCAACATAATCGCCCATGAAAAGGTAGTTGGTATCCGGAGCATTTCCGCCAATCTTAAACAGCTCAATGAGATCGTAGAACTGGCCGTGGATATCGCCGCAGACAGTGACCGGACACTTCACCGGCTGCACGTTCCACTCCTCTACCAGAATCGCCCGAGCCTGATCGCAGAGCGTCCTCACCTCCGCCTCGGGCAAAGGCTTGCACTCCATCAGATGCTCGATCTGACGGTCCAGATCCCCTTGAGACGGCATCGCTCCTCGACGGTTGGACAGATCCGCGTGATAATTTTAGTTCCCCCCCAGGGAATCGAAGGACTGCGTTGAGGACAAGGCTCGATCGAGCGATCCGCCGGCGGGGGAGGAGGACGGTGGAGATAGGGTTTCGGTCTCGGAGACGGGAGGGAGCTGGAGCGGAACGAAGCGTTTTGGAGCTCTCGTGTCTATCATTCCTAGCTCGCTGCTATTCTCTGGCTCATTATTTTTTTCTTTTAATTTTTGACCTCTTCTTCTTCTTCCTTCTTTCTGCCGTGCGACTTTTAAATTTTTGTAGGGGAAATTCCGTGTTGGGTTTCGCTCTCTTTTATACTAGCCTATAGCCCGGCCCGTTGGCCGCATTTGTTTAAGGAAATGGAGTTACAATATTTATAATGATAGTGTCGAGAAATGAGTCTTGTTTTATATTATCATAAGATTGTTGCAATTTTGCAATTCGTTGAAGACGAACATGTAATATAAATGAACATTCATAATAAGTTAGAAATACATTTGAAGATTAGCTAATCACA